ACCTTGAACACAACTTCCTTCAAAACTAGCAGTTACAAAGAATGAATTAAAAGGTCTGATATTATACATGCCACCGAATAAATGAAATGGTGGGACCACACTAGATTCACGTGTTAAGGCCTTTTGCATTTAACACAAATTATTAAGGGATGGGATAGGACCAGCGCTGCCCTCTGAAACTCCACTCAGTTAGATACATGATGTATCCCACGCCTAATTAAATCACCATTAAGCATTAATAAATCATCATTATTTAACATTAACCTCTTCACTTAGAATCAGTGATGTTTTATGTATGTGGTGGGGAATTTCCCACTTTGGTTGTTTCAACTTAAACATTCCACTAAGCCCCTCATTAAACTTACTTCCTATACTTAGGAACTCATCTCCATTTGGGCCTCAAAAAGTGTATGGGAATGTGTGAAACCTTAACTGGGGCTTTTGTGGCTTTTTTTTTTGGTGTTTGTATGGGCTTAAAAGTGTATGGTTTTTGGATTAGTCTGGAGACGTTGTCACGGCTGAAAGACGCCTATTTTCCTGGGATACCGGATGGAGTAATCCAAAAACCTAACTAACTTCTGGCTAAAACGAAGATGCGTTTTAACATTGAGGAGAGCTGCTTTTGGGGTGTTTAATAAGGCAATTTACCATTAGGCCTGAGTTAATGCTCATTCAAAACACACCTACCCAAATTTGCCTTTTACTTTTTCCCTCACTCTTCTCCCTTCACTTATTATAATTAGTTATGTGTTTTATTTACTTTAATTAAAGACCAGATGAATTTTAATTTATATTAATATTTATCCATTATATAAATTTATTCATCTATAAAGTGTTTTCAAATTTTTTTCGGTAACAAATATTTTTATTTTACGCTTTCACAAAAAAAACTACGTTTATTTTATTATAATAATTTTAGGTATTTTTTAACTATGATCACGTTTAACTGTTTGATGAAGTTCATACTTTTTTTAATTATTTTGTAACTAAACTCACTTTTTAATTAATCATCCAAACAAATTTTAGTTTTTTCAATTAACTTTTTATGAGCACCAATATAAACATAAATCGCATTACACAACTGATTTTTATTCTAATTTCAGTTTACAAAAGTGAATTAGAATGAAAATCAGTTTTGCTGTCAAAAAAAAAAAAAGGTTAGTTTTGCCATTATCAATCCAAAGACACTCTTGGATGTTTAGAAATTATGCTTCAGTGGCGAGGGACAAGTATTTTTATTGGGCTTCCCCGTGCGCCTAATTAAAAACATACCATAAATTGATTTGGATCCCGGGAACACTTTTTTGGATGAAATGATTTGCAGTAGAACAAAACGAAGCGGAAAAGTGAGATGTCACGAGGGATGGGTTACTTCCTTTTTTGAGAGACCAACCAGCGAAAAGAGTGAATAATTAATCAAACACAGTCACTTCTAGACTATTCTTCATTTTTGTCAGCGTTATTCTTATAATTAAAATATTACTATATTAATAATATTCTAATTAAAGATATAATTATACACTGCGGGGCCATCTTTATTCTACCATTTTTCAAAAAAAAGGGGGAGAAATTAAAAACCACGAACAGCACACCGACTTTCCTGACCACAGGTCAGAACACCGACTTAAAACCTACAGGGATCACCAACCGGATCATATATTGTTGTCTTAATTAAGGAACATGGGGATGACAAGAATTCTAATCAAACACTGTGTGTTTTAATAATATATTAATACTTTTTTTTTGCTTTTGAGGGTAGCTTATTATAATTATTGTCTTATTGCTTTGCAAGATGTGCGAGTGCTCAAACGTGGAAAGGCTACCTAATTCTTGTTGTCATCGAGCATGCAATCCTCTCAAATGATCAACTTGGTGTGACTCATCCAATTGAAATAATTTCAAAGCAATCACTTTAATTAAATAATTTGTTTGTTTATTTATTTATCTATGCACATATGGTCCTTCTCGCTTTTCCTAGGGCTCTGATTGGCTCTGGACCACCGGCTTCCTCTAACTATTGGTGCCCATCGCCACTTCGACATGACAAGAACCATGATCTCAAGAATTGACCCCAATTAAAATAAGACAACAGACATGATGTGGATAATTGATTAACCCCAGCAATAGAGCTTGTTGGATATATGCATATATATCGCAATGATGGAATATGATAACATTTGGATGCCATCAATCATGGGTTTTCCGATGTCGGCCCACTTTCTTTTTGTTTCTTTCTCTGTTCCCTAATTTGCATCTTTATTTGGTATTATTGGATTAAATTTAAATATTATTAAGCTTAATTAGATGTGGTTGTTCTTTTTTCCCAGTATGACTTTTTCCATTAAATCGGCTTATGTGGGAATTCAAATCATGGAATGGTTTCTGATGAAAATTGATGTAAAGCCCTTTGCACCAAGCAATTAAAGACATGTTTATGTAGGATAGTAGCGACTAAATCTAGATGCTAATAGTAATTCTTTTGTTTTTAATACCTGTCTTTCAAACTCCTTTTTCTTTCGCTTTTTCCTGATCACTCAATCATGGGACGACAGCGCATTAGGATCCTCGTTTCTTTTTCTAATTGGATGAAATAAGGTTTGCTTGCGTAATAATAAAAGAGATACTGCCTCCCATCCTTAATATAAGATTTTATTTAAATTTTATTTTAATCTTAAGTTCAAGACCTTAATTTATTTTATATCTTATATTTATCTATTATTTTAGAATAGTCTTTACAATAATAATAGTTTTAATAAATATACTTGGTTAGTAAAAATATTTTAGAAAAGACAACATAAATTTATTACAAATAACTAATTTTTTTAATCTACTTAAATTAATTAACTAGTTTTTATATTAAAGATTTTAGGTATTATATAAAAGCATGCTTCACGAACCGAACCGTAATGAACAGTGTAATGAACACGTGTGTCGTGCACTTTATAACTCAGCTGCACTGTTGGGACCCGTCCACGTACAACACAAAGCCATGACAATTGTGACAACACGCACTTGGAAATGTTTCGTGAAAACAAGTGGGCGAAAAAGATAAGATGAATGCCAATAAACCATATTACTGGATTATTGCATTAATGGAAATTGATTGCGAGTCTTAGATATCCTTGATTAGGTCGAAAACCAAATTCCCATTAGTTCAGCATCAAATCTACTTCGTCCATTTTTTTCATTTTTCTTATTCGAAGTAATACTGTTTGAGACATTATTGTGTACTAAATATAGGTACTTTTCCTAATGGACTTTCAAACCTTCATTCCTCATATTAGTGTATTATGAGGGATTAGTTTCTTTCACTAGATCCAATCCCTGTTAGTTACGTTGTCCATTTTAACTGTAAGTAAAGTTTTTTAAAAATCCTATTTTAATATCTTGGTTAAATATAAGATAAGGATGTAGTAATTAAATTCTTTTTCTAATATTGCTCCTCTTTAATTAATTTCACCAAGTTAATTATCGGCATGTTTTAAATTTTTAAACAGACTTTATTATTATCATTAATTTTAATATGAAAGACAAATTCAGAAAGTTACATATTTTTCTACTAGTTAATAGAGTACTATGTCACTGTCATTACTCCTTAATAACCATGAAAATGATTATTTTTACCCTGTAACCGGTGCTGCTGAAGGAAACAGATGTCGGTATTATCATGCTAATTACTTGCGATGCTATAATTGATATAGGATACAAGAAAGAATCAATGGAGTCGCTTGCCGTGGCCCATTTCATCATGTTTACGAAAGAATTAATTAGATTTAATTATCATAATTATCTACTTAAAATATAATGCATAACATTTTAAATGTGGCAAAAGAAATTGTTTGAAAATTGAGACCATTTAAATTTATATACACAATAAAAAATTTTCATCAAATGACCGGTCTCAATTTTTAGCTCATACCATGTTTTTTATGTAATTATATATATATATATATATATATGTTTTCGAGGAACCGATAGCAAAATATTAAAATGTCACCATTCTAAGCTTTTCCTTTCATCTAAAAATAAAGAATTTAAGCACAGTAACTTGCATTTTCGACCCGACACAGGTACAAGTTACTTAGTTTGGTTTCTGTAACATTGCCTTTCAAAAGGTCCGGGCAAAGTAACTTTGAAAATATAACGTTGGAATAGAAACAACGGCAAAACAAATACTTGGTTGAAACATTTGATACCTATTAAACTGTCGGGCTGCAAGAAAACAATAGATTTACGCCAAATTTTTTCACAGGAGAAGAAATTGAAGAGAAATTATCATGGATTTTCTTTTATTTAATCACCTCTTACCGAATTTTCTCATTAAAAAAAATAAGAAGAGAGCTGGTTAAGTCCCACTTCACGGTTGTTCTTTGTGAAAAGAGTCATCGGTGTATCCTCTCCGGGGAGTTAATTAGCGGCTGGTCGATTTTGATTAGACAAGGGTCCGCGTATGACCTCGCTCTGATTAATCTCGGCTAGGTGTACGTGCTTTTTGACCTTTTCTATAAAACAATAATCATATAAAGAAAAGAGTGATTGGGGGTCATTAATTCCATTCAGCCAGAAGGAGGAAAAAAAAAAAAAGGACTTTGACTGTTGCCACGGCCACTATTCTCCGTTTGAAGAGTGAAGACCGAGTAAAAACTAAAGTCAAACATTATTATTTATTACCATTTCTCTGCTTTTACTCCTTCCAGCATCCAATACCAATAGGCAGAGAGAAGGTAAAAAGTCACCAATCCATACTACATCATGAAGTTACTGTTTATCAATATTATAAATCAAACATAAAAATGACTTTTTTTCCCTCGAAAAAGCCATCTGACGTAATAAAGAGGCTTTAAACTTTGCGAAGAAGCAATCTCTCTGAACAAGCTCTGGCCGAAAGTTCATACACAGTTTCGATGAGTCGGATGCACCCACAATTTCATCAGACGGAGGATCAAGCATTAATTCCTGCCAGTGATAAATAGTTTGAACGAAAGCGAAAAGGACAGAGATGACATGAACTCTTAGTTGCCCTATTATTACTCATAATCAGCGCCAGTGATAAATATCTTACATACGGATTAGAGAAGGAAAAAGAAAAAGTGCCTTTAATTCATATATACTTTGCTTGAAATATCTACCCTTAATTCCTGAAAATCTTACAGCACTAGCTAATTACTGCGAATTAATTTGCGCCGGCTGGCTAAATATTCCCGAACAAAAATAAGACGGACTCGGAAATTTTGTGTGCAGCGGCAGCCGAGCTGGCTGGCTAGCAAGCTGCGGATGAGTGGGTGAATGGGTAGCTGCTTTTGTACAAGTGATGGGCCTTTGATCCGATCAGGAAGGCGGTAGTAGCAGGAGAGCCATTGGCGGGGGAGCCGCCGCCTCCGCCGCAAATCCTCTCACAAGAAGGGCATAAGGTGAGGGTGGCTGCCGGAAGCTGCATATACAAGGGTCCCTGCGACGTCGTTTTCATTGATCTCAGTTCTTGCAACTCCTTTTCCAGCCTCTTGTTCTCTTCCGTTAGCGTTTCGCAGCACTTCTTGAGTACCTCACAGTCAACTTCCGTTTGTTTCAGTTTTGTCCTGTGTGTATTCCAAGAATCAACGATACATATCATCAGTATTTAACATGAACGTGAAGATGACGGTAAAGTTGCAGCAGACGACTGCACAAATCAATCCGATTAAAGCAGTTAATAGTTAGAAGAACTAAAGTGAGATATTAATCAATTACCTAGCTCTCCTGTTTTGGAACCAAACCTCCACTTGTCTCGCACGCAGGTTTAGCTTTCTTGCCAATTCTTGCTTTTGCTTCTGAGATTAAACCAAATAATAAAGCATTAGAGATCATTTGCAGATATAGGAACCTGCAGTTTCGAAGAAAATAAGAGAAAATAAACTAACACAGGCTTTTATACATAGAAAAGGTCTAATTCAGGAGGAGACGGATGAAGCAGTACGTACGGGATTGAGAGTAGAGTGGTCTCTGAAGCTGTCCTCCAAAACAGCAGATTGTTCTTTGGTGAGCCTGAGTTTCTTCCTGGGATTACCCTCGTCGTCCACGTCGACGCCAGCCCTGGAGGGATTAACCTTGTTCTCTACTTCCAAATCAAGCTCGTCGCCGACAAACTCCTTATTCTCCCTCTTGATGCTGGAGGAGTTGGAGAAGGAAGAGGCGGCGCTGGGAGAAGAAGAGGATATTGCATGGAAATGAACAGATTCAGTCTTGGTCGGAGGAAGCTGCCGATTGGCGTCCTGATCATCAGGCGGTCCTAAAGTAAGAGACGGGTACGCCTTCTGGTCACATTTGTACGGATCCTCTTCTTTCTTCTGTCGGATTTCTCCGCGGCAATTCTCTGACTCATGGGGAAGACCGAGGCCGAGGCCGAGGCCGAGGCGGAGGCCCGTATTAGACATATCGGCAAAACCCATTGAGTTGTGAGAAGAGGATGAAAGTGTTGGAGGGAGGTTGTCGTCGAGCAGTGTGGTTGATATATAACAAGGAGGAGGAGAGAGAGGGAGGAGGGAGGGAGGAATGAAGAAAGTGGTGGAATTTAAAAAAAGGCGAAAGGAGAGTGTGAAGAGGGGTTGTGGAGGGGAGAGACTTTGGGTGGGGACTGAATATTTAATAATGAAGGAATACAAAAATACAAGGGAGAGGGAGGGATATGGTTTCTGGAATGATGTAAATTCGAATTCCAATTCCAAGGCGTCTTTTGGGCTCAAAGGTTGACCATTAAAAGGCAGTGCCCGGCTCGCGAACTGGGGTTGTGTGAAGAAAAGGGCAAGTCCAAACAAAATATGCAATGAATGATGAGGTATACATGGTAGCTGGTTTACGTGGAATCACGTGGAAAGTGGGTGGCACATTAGATAGCGCATAATCGACAGAATATTTCACCCCCACCCCTTTCCTTTCCTCCTCTTTTTTTTTTTTTTTTTTTTTTTCCAGTTTCCTTTTCAGCTTGCCATTATTATTTTTATTTCACCTTATCGCCTTTATTCTGCACAGCAGCGAATCAGGAGCATTTCTTGTGTTTATACTTTGCAGGATCATACGATTCTATATGTTCCACAATAATCGACAATCGTGCGGTTGCACTCGTAACTGCCTTCGTCCATGACGTACGTTTGTACGGTGTGAGCCTGAAGTTCAATTCCCTGGTGTTCCTTGTCTAATTGAAACTGACTTGCGGATTTTTTTTTTTTGAGCGAATATTTATCCCCAGGATGTGAATTCCCTGACATTTTATTTCTAACAATTATATTTAGGTATTTAAAAATGTTTATTTAAGCGCTTAAAGTCCTCAAAGAATTAAGACTAGTTTTGTTTTCTAATTTCTGAGCGATTAATTTTCTACCGAGTTCTGCTGATTCATCGCATAAAAAAAAAAAAACTCCGATTCATTATAATTTTTTTTGCATATTAATTTTATGCTAATCAACATATCAATGTAAAATAAAATTTACAAAAAAAATCACGTCATTTAGAAAGCACAAACTAGTATCTTAAGATTTCACATAATATATGCGCAAATGTGTCTGATTCACGCCTTAGCCTTATCGTGCCTTATCGTCTACCATAATTGAGAGAACAAATCCTAGATCTCCTTATTCTCAAGATGGGATGTTATAATGTACTAATTCTTTTTTGTTCCGCATAAAATACAAGTCCTTTAAAATACATTTTTGCTGCTCCCCGACAAAAAAGGCTGGCGTTCCATTGAGTTTACTGGTGCCATCACGCGCGTTCCATGCTGGCTTTACCGCCAAAAGGAACTCAGCTAAGTCGAACTTTTTTTTTTTTTTTTTTTTTGCATGTTTTTCGTTACAAAAGAAAATTAGAGAAACGTCATTTCCATTTTGCTTGGGGCACAAGATATGGCCTCAAGTCAGTGCCTTCTCATCATCTTGAATCTCTGTTACGACTTTGTAAAGCAGTTCTAAAACGAAAAATCAGATAGATAAAAAAAAAAGAGAGAATATATTGTATTATCTCTGTTTCTCAATATAAAAACTAATTGAATAATTTAAATAAATTAAGAAAACTAGTTAAATTAGTCATTTGTAATAAATATATATTATATTTTTTCAATATCCTTACTAATTAAGTGTATTAACTAGAATTATCATTATTGCAATGATTACATTGAGAAAAAAATATAAAAAATAAAATAAATTAAAGTTTTAGAAGTAAAATAAAAATTAAATAAATTTTTATATTAAAAACAAGAGATAATATTCGTTTTGTCGTGACACTATTTTATAGGCTTCGCTTTTTAGAAGACCCAATCTTTGCCGTCATAAATGGATAAACTATTCACTACAGGTCTCACGGGAGACGCAAGATTCTGCTTTTGGTAATTGTTTGTCTTCGTACTTTTTTACGAAAAGATATTTAAAGGGTATCCAAGTAGAAACAAAATCAAAATACTTTTATGGTATATAAAATCTAGAAGAGTTTGTCTTAGTTTGCAAAAAAATAATTTTAAAAAATGATTTTGGATTACCCAAACACCTCCTAAATAACACAAAATCTTTTCTTTTGAAAGGAATTATTTCATAAAAAAATTATTTTCTCTAACTACCACTAGGTCATTAGTTCAATATGTGGCTGGCACAAAAAAAAAGTTCAGTCTGTGTATAATACATGATATTTTAAAGCTGGGAATTACGTGATATAGCCCTTTTTCTAGGTTTAAAAATAATAAACTAAGATTTAAATATCATATTTATTATCTGACAGTATTTTAACAGATTACTTTTGAGATGTTTGTGCCTAAAAAACAAAAATAAGTAAATTGCAAAGACACTTCCAAATTCACTGGATAAAGAGCCCGATACCGTGGATTGGAGATTTGGCCATGATATGATAACGATGGACACCATCAAAGGACCTTGACAAGCCACGTACAGTTACACCGCCATGTTGGCATTCCCCCGAGAAGATAGAGAATCACCCTACACAGTTGTGCTCACCAGTGTAGGACATTAGTGGCCTTGGAGAATTCAAATCCATCCGTTGTGAAACTGGTTATATGTAACATTAATTATAGCATATCAAGTAAATTAATCTTGAAGAAATAATAAACATCAAAGACAAGATGAATTGAGTCATTATATTTAATTTGGATTAAGCTCAACTTCTTCAACTAGTTCTTATATTAAAAATTAGAAGGAGTAATATTTAGCATCATAAACATAGATGGAAAAAAAAGGTCATGAATATATTATTATTGTAAAGATTATGCATGTACAGCTATTACAAACACATAGATACAATATATATACTACCTCCAATTCTAATTAAATAGTTACTATATTCAAGACCAAAGGGAATACCTAATAATACTGTATATGTTGAGCATATATATAATTCAAAACAAAAAATTCAATAGCACGTAAAAATGAAAATGTTACATATGGGCCTTATATTTAAAATCGGAGGAGTAATTAATATCACTGCATCATTGTGCAAATTCACAACAATTTCGTATTTATGTCTACCATAATTCACCATTGAAGAAATTAAACTCCATTTCGAGAAAAACCAATCCAAAATTAGGACTCAAGAGATGACGTAGCGGCCAGTTGAAGGAAGGAATGAAATACAAAAACAAAACAACAGACAGCTCGTAACAGAAGACAGAAGCAACTTAAACAAGCTGCTCCCCTTCTCCCCCCCAAAAAAAAACACACACAAACGAAGACTTAATTAAGCTAACCATGACAATATATATATATATATATATATATATATATAGGTGACATATGTATATGCGTGTTTGAAAGCAACATTCACATACAAAAAAATATTTCTCAAGTTTTCATCTTCACATTCTCACCTTTTCTTTTCTCCCTCCTATTTCTACTTTCCCTTTAAGACATTAATTCAGAGTGTTTCAGGTCTCCCTTTTTTTTTTTTGGGTGAAAATTTCAGGTCTTATCTTTATTCACCTAAATGAATAATTAATGGGTTTGAATAAATAAAAAAATGATAAATATAAAACTACAAGGCAAATTCCATATACAACCGTATTCAAATTGTTGTCAAAGCCATAATCATAAACGCACGCATATTGGGTACTGATTGTGTGCTTTGCTTAATGGTGTTGTATCATGGGAAACAAATAACGATCGAAACCTCTATGACTTTAAATACTTGATTTTGTTTTTAAAAATACCGCGGCAATGACAAGTTGCTTTAGTGCGATAAAAGTCAACTTTGGATCGGATACATCATCTTTATTTTCACACCCCCCTTTTTTTTTTACAGAGAGGTGGCCACTATATAATATTGCGAGCCATGGCATCGCATATTATAATAATCCATTTGATAAAAAAATCTTATCGGCATAATAAATTTCAAAAATCGGATAGAGGAGTATCAATAGTGTTTGGAGAATAGTCGTCATCAGCATCTTTTTCTCTTATTGGAGACCCTGCTTGGTTCTACTCTTTTTTTTAATGTAGTTTTAAATATTAAGATTTATTTAAATGAACCAATATAAGGTTCCTGGTTAAGTTCATCTCGTGGCCAGTGGATTTGCCGTTAGTTTAATTTCTATCTGTGTTACGAATTACGATATTCCTAAATCTTAGTTATAAAAGCACTGGGATCAACTTAACGTATATTTATAATATAAAACCTCTCCAGTTTGCTTCCTAGTCTTTCCCTCCTAATCACGCCTCTTTGTTTTTTCTGCCCCTTTTCTGTTTAATTTATCAAGCTTTCCAAATTTCTGTTTCTTTTAAGTCTTTATTCGCAAATAATGTAATCTGCCCAGGCAACTTGTCTCTGATGAATCAAAATCATTGCAAAAATATATTATATATACTTGGTAGGACATGATTGATAAGAATCACCGACGAATAAATAAATTCAATGTATCATGATTGAGAATTTGAAATAGATGGGACAGGTAACCATCAGATATGTCAACTTTCTGCTATCGCTCTTTAACTCGTGCGGAGTAAAATTTTTTCAATTAATTAGAATTCATAGGGATATCATGGTAAAGAAAACAATAATAAATGAAAAAAGAAGGAAATTTTATAATCGCAAAATTATTGCACATATAGAATTGTAGATACTCTTACACGACAAGCTTCAAGCACGATTAGATAGATATTGACCCGAACACAGTTCACAAAAATCCAAACAGATAGCATAATTTAAAATGGAAGGGATGATGGCGAATATCTGGGATTAGACTGAACAAGTGCCTGTTGCTGTAAATGGGAGTACTGGACTAGAAAACAAAAAGAACTAGACAGACAGAAAAACAAAGTAAATAAAAGAAAGCAAAGCTTAGCAGTGAAGGGTGTTGTAATGCATGGCATCGATTCTGGTTCTCCAAATCATAATTTTGATCTTCTTCACATCCTGTATATTGCCTGTTTTAGAGCAAGTTGGTCACAAAAAAGCGAGCCCCAGGTGCCCACTTATATTCCCTTTATATGCAGGGTGGCTCCCAGCTACGTGTCGGCCACAGTCCAGTGCCACGTGGATGAGGAGGAAGGAAAAATAGTTGTGTGTGTGTGTACGCGAAAAATTAGTGGACCAGGAACCAATAATTTGGGATGATTGGGTATTTGATTCTAAAAGCAGAGGGGATGAATAATGAGGGTGATGATTACAGAGGGAAGAAGTTGGCAATGATGGAGAAGGTGGAAGGTAAGAAAGGGTTAAAAAAAGGGGTATTAAATTGTTGTTGGAGATAAGGTTTCAGCTTTGTGTTCCGGGGGTTAAGGCCAGCCGACCAGTGGGAATTTAGGGTTGTGCTCTTTGTTTGGCTTTTCCACATCCCACTCTTTTTCTTTTCTTCCTTACCAACCGTCCATGTCAGCAAACCCACTAACTTTGTCTGTATTTTACGAATAGACCTCCCCATCGCGATTCTTATTGATTGATTTTGAATCTCTCTTCTCGGTCATCGTCTTTAACATTATAATCCTTCTACGTAATCCTTTTTACTCCCTCCCCTTTTCTCTTCATATTATTCTCTTATTCACTCACCCCCTCTGATCATCAGCCAGCATCTGGTTCCTCGTGTCCCTCTCACTACTGTTCACCGCGGATTGTTGCCTTCCATGCTTGCCAGACGCAACTAGCAATCAAGTCTCGGATTCATGACCAGAGAGAAGAGAAAGGACCAAATCTTTAGGGAGGGTTCTGTAAGGTCGTCGTCAGTGAGTAAAGGGTTGAGCAGAAACCAGCGAGCTTGAAGAGTCGGACAAGGAAGGTATAAGGTATAGTCACAGAGAGAGAGAGAGGGAGAGAGCGAGCCATGTACAGAGAAATAAATGAATAGTGAGGAACAGTCTTTTCGAGAAGCGAAGCTGAGAGAAAGCGAACCCCACTCAGGTTATGTTGGGTCTAATACATGAACCTATTGGTGAAAGAGACTGGGCTTGGGGGAGATAGGCAGGAGCATCGTGGTGGTTTTGAAGTATGAATAATAATTAGGGAGACACCACGACATTGACCCTAACACTTGCCTTCCAATATGCTCTCACACTCCTTTCAAGGTATCAATCCATGGTTGCCTGCTTGAGTATAGGCCCACGCCAAGATGCACGACGACTCCCAATAATTTCAATGCTTTGCCTTGGTGGCCTCTATTTTTTGCTGATTGTTCAATCTAATTAAATGCGCCTCGTGTGAAGAGCGTATCTTGGCCTGTCTTCAAGGCATCTTCATTTCATTGATTAAAAATAGATGTGAGATTAGATTAGATATATGTGCGTGCATATCAACATTTTCATTTTTTCAGTAGGAAAACCCGGGCACGCACTTGCTATGTATATGAACGCTGCATAATAAATTATTCATTAAAGAATTTCACTGGCGAATTTAATTAATTAATTCGATCCTCACACGTACACCCCACTTTTTACATCAATATATTCGATATATCAATCAATAAAAAGATTCTGAAATATTGATACTCATAAAATAAGAGATAGTAGTCGATAATGCATGCAGCGGCTTGTGAACAATATGATTCATTTCAAACTACTACATATCTAGAAAACAAGAAGTCATCATCAGCTCCAGTTTATTATTGGGGAAAAGAAATTTATTTATTTTAGATGCATCATGTAAACCTCCTTAGGCTCTACACTCTGTTCATTTTGATTTTTCTTGCAAAAAGTAGCATCATGCCACTTTTGGTTTAAGATATAATAGTATAAATGCAGAGTTAACTTCATACCTAATACATATGTGTTTGTTCTGAACAAAGTATGTGTTTATAATTGCTGCTTATTATTCAGGCTTAGAGTGATGCACATGGTTCACTCAAATAATTATAAATTGTAGACAAAAACTATTATTGATTCAATCATTTTTATTATCACATTAAATTAAAATAAAATTTTTGTTTGTTACTGCCTAAAAATCAATTCTATTTTTATTTTTGATACCGTATAAAAATTTTATTTTTGTAAAAAATAATTTCATTCACCACAAATTATTTAAAATTCTGAGGACGTGTACCAATTATTAGAAGAGAAAATGTCATATTTGAAAAATATATAAAATATCAGTTATATTTAATCAAAATTCAAGAGAGACCAAATTAACTTTCTTTTATTTTACGGTTTAAACTTTAAACTCCTTTCACCCCTCTTTTAAAAGCCGCCCCTCTTTTCACTGCTCCTTTGAAAGCAGTCAAAAAGGGCTGTTCACGTACGTATATGATTGATTGGGAGGGAAAGAGAATTCCCATCAAGGGGGGAAAAAGCCAGGCAGATAAGAAAATTATGCCTAATGCTCTTCAAATTATCTGGGGTTCACTTCTATGAAAAAAAAAAAACGATAATCTCAATTCGATTGATCACGATTTAAACGGGTCAAATTAATATTACAACTTACCCCAGAGGAGTTGAAAATTTTGCATGTTATTATAAAAACTGTACTTAACTTACTCTTAAACGTAAGACATAGTTAATTAATTTACAGGAATTAAAAAATTAGTTAAGCTATTTATTTATTATTATTGTGAAGAAATTGTGTTATTCCCCTTCAAATATCTTGAAGGGAGACAGCGTTAAATGCAGGACAGTAGGAGACAAAAAATGAGAGGCACCATGAAATTAATGAGAGTAATTTGAAAAAAATGTTAAATGAGGAAGATTGAAAAAATGGAAGTTCTGGTAAAAAAAGAAATTGAAGTTTCACAGTCGAAATAAAAAAAAAGAAATTATTCGACTACTTATATTTAAATTTGAGAGGATAGAAATAACAGCAATGAAGGTTTAGTTTTTATATATTTGATTAAAAATTGATGAGAGCATTGAAAACGGACGATTCCAGACTGATTATTTAGGAAACTGGAAACTTTGGACTCACAACCACGTGCTAGAATTAAATAGCGAACTCATTACCGACAGTGCAACTAGGCTTTTGAATACATTCGATTTAGCAATGCCCAAAAGAAAATAAATTCGATTCAGAAACAACGATGAACAGGGGAACTCATGAAAATGAAAGGGAACTTTTTATGAGGAAGAATAAGGACATGGATCCTAATCTGTTCCTATTGCAGTATTGCAGTGCCTGCCTCAAATCACACTGGGGTCTTTTCTTAAGCAAGAATAAGGACGTGGATCCTAAGCTGTCACGGTTTGCTTGGTTTAGCATATGAATTTTGTCTTGAGCCACTGACGATGTAGATATAATATGCCTTGGTCTCCTATTGGATAATAGAACGGGCCACTAAAGGCCTAAAGGTAAATAAAAAATTGCTAAGAAAAGCCCAAAGCCCAAAGCCCATGATGTGGCTTTCGTAACCCCTCTGTTCCATATGTATGGCTTTTGAACAATATGGCCCGAAGCATGCTGATGATGCAGCGGGAAATGGAAGATCTCGTGTGTAGATGCACCGTCGGTAATGAGCTTGGCTAATCATCCGCCAACCCAAAAGCACACAAATTAATACTACCTCCGATTTTAATTATAAAATATTATTTGTAGATTATAAATAAATTTTTATAATTAAGACTGAAAGTAATAAATGATAAATTGTTTTTGAATTTACAAAATCACTCTTAAGAAGTATTTAAGAGAGGTTTTATAAAACTTTTTTTTTTTTAAGAGGTACATTAATGTTATTGGGTCAAAGCCTGACCACATAAATCCTTTTATTGTTGGTCATGATCTTATTTATTTGCAGGGTATTAGTGGCTTATTAAATTGAGTTTCTTAGTTGTGTGTATATACAGACCAATAATTTAACCAATATATGTGGCAAAGAGGACTGATTCAAAGTAACGGGAGCGGTCCTCGGTGGATATTCAAATCTAATAGCAGCAACAACACCCAAAACATCGTCGTGAGGCTCTTTTATAATGATGAAGAGAGAATTAACGTTAGCACTTCCTCTGCTCATCCTGTTGTTATTCTCCCTCTTGTCCGTCAACGTCCTACGCCCCTTTGATCGTCAGGGATTGTGGTCTCATTTCTTCACCAACGACAACCTCCAACGTTGTGATTATTCCAACGGACGCTGGTTGTGGGACGAAGCTTACTCCTCTTCTCATTCTTACCATGAAAACTGCCCATTTCTGGATCCTGGCTTCCGCTGCCGCCTCAACGGCCGACACAACCAAACTTTCTGGCAATGGCGATGGCGACCTCACACCTGCCACCTCCCCCGGTAACCCTTCTCTTATTCATTCTGTTGTTATCGCGTAGGCTTTCATATTCTTGCCATTGTTACTGCTCTGTGCTGTAACTTGCAAAAGACGATGCTAGTGTTTTTTCCTTTCTTTCTTTCTTTCTTTCTTTTTTTTGGGGCGAGAGCATCCCATTAGAGGATACATGACACTGTTACTGGTAGATGCAGATTTGGAAGATAGAGTAAATGGAATGAGGAAACAGTTATGAACATAAATGCAGTGACCCACTTAGATCCTAATTTCTAGCATGGCATTGGCCTCGTGTGTCTAACCAAATGGCGCCTCCACACCAGCATAGCATACTCCCTTAACAACTAACAAGGCTGCATAAAATGCACACGCAACACACACAAACACGTGCACGTATTTATGCATCAAAACACGTCGTTTTATACAGGAAGGGGCCTTAATAAAGTAAACTTAGATTGGTAAGAAATTTTTCTTCAGTTTTTCCCCTGACGTAATGATCACGTGAAAATTTTTACTCCATGAGAAAAATGAATATCTTTCAAGTTCCAATGAAACAAATAAATGGGGAGATAAATGAGAAGTTGGGGCTGACACAAGGCTGTGCTTGGTTTCAACAAGTTGATCCATCTGATCATCATCATAATTTCTCTTGTAGATTCAATGCGACGGACCTTCTGGAGAGAAGCAGGAATGGACGTATTGTGTTTGCGGGGGATTCAATGGGGAGAAACCAGTGGGAATCATTACTGTGCATGCTGGCTTCAGGAGCGTCTAACGTATCCGCCATTTATGAGGTCAAGGGCAAGTCCATTAGCAAACACAAGGGTTACTTATCCATGCGGTTCCAAGAATTCAACTTGACAGTTGAATATTACAGGACACCATTCTTGTCCCCCTTAGCCTCTCCACCTCCCACTTCATCCCCTCAAGTCCAAAAGGTCATTAAGCTCGACAAGTTGCACTGGTTTTCCAACATGTGGGTTGGAGCAGATGTCCTTGTTTTCAATTCTGGCCACTGGTGGAATCCTGATAAAACTACTAACTCGTAGGATAATCCACACTCTATTCATCTTACTTTACTAGTTCTTAACTACTTGATTTACTTGTTTCGGATGAACATGGCTCTTGTTTTTTAGGGGATGCTATTTTCAAGAAGGGGCCAACGTGAACATGAGTATGGATGTGAAGGAAGCATTTGAGAGATCCTTACAGACATGGAAATCATGGGCTTTGCATAGATTGGATCCTGATAAAAGCTTCATTTTCTTCCGCAGCTTTTCTCCCGTACATTACAGGCACGTACATTGGTTGACGTAGTTTAGGAAACTACATAATTATAAATCCATGTAAACTCCTGATTTAAATCTGGGTGGATGGAAATTGCAGGGGTGGCGAATGGAATGGAGGGGGAGGTTGTGACGAGGAAACAGAACCAGATAAGGAGCCGAAAAGAATTGAAACAGAACCGTATAATAATATAGTTATATCTGAAGTTGTGAAACAGATGGACTACGGGAAGTGGAAAGTGCAGTTTCTGAACATCACGAATCTGTCAGAGATGAGGAAAGATGGGCATCCTTCAAAGTACAGGGAAGAAGGCACTCCACCTGGCGCCCCACAGGATTGCAGCCATTGGTGCTTGCCTGGAGTGCCTGACACGTGGAATGAACTTCTCTACGCACATCTGATCTCCATGCAGTTTGGAATCAACAGGATACAGAAAGAGGGAAACACAAACAATCCTAGCTAGCAGCTAGGCCTTTCACTCTGCAAAGAATGCACACAGAATTTGCATTTATGAAGATATTGGACTCTGCCAGAAACAATACATGATGCATGGCGCATTGGTTTGGTCAAGGATAGAACATTAAAGCAAAAGTGAAATGAATGAGGTACATTGCAGAACTGATCTGGTACATGCAGGTGGATTCCTGCAAATAAGGCTGCAGAGGAAACTGCATAACAACCAATGAAAAGGAAGGATACGTACTGATCTGGAAAAATGCAATTCAGCACATCATGAAGTAGATGATATGCCAGACAAACAGTGTATAGCTTTTGCAGGGCAATCCATATGTTTGTGGTCACTGCCTACGCAACAGTGAAAGAGACTAGAGTAGGTTTAGGAGGACGAAGAGAGATGGATCAGTTTTGTTGAGTCTGCCTTCTGTTTTCTTGATTGACTTTCTCTATATTTTGTTCCATTGAGGCAAAAAACTAAATGTTAGATTAATTGAAGAGAATGAATAAGTTGGTTGAGAATTAATAAGGTGGCTTTTGGACGCGAAGATGATCTCAACCAAACGAAAACTACAGATCAAGATATTTTACTATGCATAATAAGGTTAAAAGCTATTTATCCTAATCAAAAGTTATATTGATTAGATATCCTAATGAGTATTGAGTGATAATCTCCGTTTATAACTAATATGCCCTTCTGAGACTCGTGATATTTAGTTTGATCATCCATCAGACTCCAAAAAAGCATCTGTTGGCTGTTCTACGTCGTGAGGGTGCTCGGACCAATCAAAATGACTATATGAAGATTTAATTAAATACTTGAGTTTGAAACAAAAGAAGATGTTTTTGTCAACTCATAAAAATCAGGAGACTTTGTAAAACTGGTTTGTTGTTTTTATCAGAGAAATTTGAAAAGGCATATTACTGGGAGCATATACTGTAGATAATTTGACTAGAGTGAATTGAAGAGGGCATGTGTATGGGTTTAAAGAAGGCGCTGTGATACAGTTGTTGCATACGATAGCAAATATGGCATCTTTCATGAGAGTTTTTTTCCCTACACATACGTATGTTTTTATTAGAGGCAATTTTATTCAAAATATTACCAGATACTAAATGTAGATACTCTCTCAAGCGGGATAGATTGTTCACGGAGATTGAGGAGTTCCTAGATGCTAATTGTCCCTGGTGGAGCACTTTACTGGGCTGGGCGTATTCTCGAATATGACCACAGGAATCAAGCCTGATATTATTCTAACCTCTTTTTGGGCCCCCAGAAGCCCGTAAAAGTTTCACAGTACAGACCCAGTTTTCAGGCCTGAAAAGCAATGCGCGGAAAAATGGTTCCCCGGCCCTGATTTAATAAAATTACTTTTGACCAAAAAAGATTTAACATAATTACTGAAGCAAATGTTTTCTATACACAAGGTTTTGTGTGTAACAGAATTATTATCCGAATAACAAATATTTTAACAAACTTATAACTGAATTACAATTACTATATACAATAAAACACCCCCTAAACTGGAGAATGGAGATCTGGCATTCCCAGCTTGGAGTGAAGAAGGTTGAAGGGATCAGAACGCAAGAAGATCAGTTAATTGATCGGAAGACTTGACTGGCTGCTCATTTTGGATCAGAAGAAGACTTGATTGGTAAAAGATGAGGGGGTTAAACTTTGTCCCGACAAGACAATCAGTTTCGATTTTGTTTATGGACACCAGTTCGGTGTAAAATCGTGCTAAGGATGATTACCAAGTTGACTGTTTATAGATTGTATTATTTGGATATGATTCTTTCTTCCACGTGGCAATACGCTTTTGGAAATGAAAATCAAGACCTTAAGTAGATAAATAAAACCTTTGACTTTAGATAGATAGATGGTGACCAAAATTCACAATATTAGAAGAGGGGCCGGAAAAGAGAGAAGGACAAATTATCTACGAAACTTGTATCATCAGAGCCAGTCTACTTTTGAATATCCGATCCATCATTTGGACCATAGAGCTATTTCGGACCAACTATTCAACTCAAAAGGATGAAGATTAGCGAATTAAGCTAGGGGCATAGAATAGCCCCACATATAAGTGGTCACTATGAAGTGTCACTAGGTTCATGCACCCCTATACATATGTCCATGCATTAAATAAGACGTACATAATCAAGCCAAATTAATATGGGACCCAAATGTTGACTAAAGAGAGGGCATGTCCAATAAACACAAGACCACCGTTGAGTGCACTCCATCTATATAATAAGGACTATATGTTATTACTGGTCTAGCTAGCTGGTTTTCCTTCCTTCCTTTGACCTCCATGTTTGTGTCTCTACAGATTTTCTGAAATGATTAGCACCAAAGTCAAGCTGGCACACTCTTGAGTCCTTAATTAACTTCACTGCCCACGAGTTTTGTGATTTCCAATGTCTTATCCCAACCCCACAGTCGCTATGTGACAAAACCAGTTTCACAGAAACATTGGGTTCCTTTTCCCTCCTTCGTTATTTGTATTGCGTGGAATTATACGACCCAGTCAGCCAGATACAACCATTTCTTCTAAGTTGATTTTTGTACTCATGCATCCCAATTAGCTAACATTGATTATGATTGTGACGTCTAGTGTTCAAATCCAATGTAATTTCTCGTGTGGATAGTTTATTTCCTCCTTTAAAATATAATTAAGCTTCAATCTGAGTTTCTTTCTTTTTTCTTCTAACCATGAGTTATCTCTTGGCGGTAGTATATCTATGTGTATTCTCACTCTAATATGATCTCTCGGAGGAGCTTGAGGCCCCATTTCTATATTAAAGAATAAAAGAAAAGTCGCGTATCCATATTGATCTCGCTTATTTTGTTTCCTGGCGACTTGACTTTTTAATGTATCCATTAATTAATGTATTTGTTACTTTTAGGTTAATTGATGATAAAAAGATAATAAAACCTGGAAGGAAGTTGGCATCAGCTGTAACGATGAATTAGATTTGTCAAGGAAGATTGTTTTTTTTCAAATATTTAGGCAGGTCAAATCAGATTTGGAAATTTATGCCCATAAATATAATAAAGTGGCTGCCCTACTTTGGGCGGATATTCTTGTCAATTACTCCTCCTTCTCTTATCATTATTCAATATTTAATATTTAATTACCATATCAAACCTTGATATTGCTTCCATTGTCGGCTAAACCTTTTTTCCAACGGTTGAATGTGTTGTCAAAGCTGTGTTTTCTATCAGTGTCCTTGTTTACTTCAATTGCATTTTTTACTGCTCCTCAATTCTTTCGGAGTTCATCAGTTATAGGAGTCTCAGTTCCTTAATCTTCTCTAGTAAATCTACTTGCTCATTTCACCAAAATTTCTAAGCTATTTGATTAATTAGGATTGTCGTATATTTATATACTCTATTTTTTTGTCATCACTTTTGAATGTGAGACTTTTCTATTTGCCAAACACGTACAACCATTACTTAGAAATGAAATATTATAGAGCGATACGTTTGGCTACCACAAATTTCCTCATAAGAAGTAAAAAGTCCACTTTATTAGGTTTGCTCTAGGTCTAAATTGATATAACAAATTTAAATTGTTGACTAAGCTATATCGATTGTTTATTAGAGTTTATATTTCACAGTACCATTTCACCTATAGCAATATTTGGGGCCAGTTTGGTTAAAATTATAAAAAATGATTTTAATTGGAGAAGTGAGGGGGAGTTGGATATGGGGATGTGTTAAATAATATATTTTTGGCTTATTTCAATTAGCTGATATCCAATTTGCTTGGATCGCGACTTATCAAATAAGCTAAAAATATGTTATTTACCTCAAAGTTTCCTCCTAACTCCCTCTTACTCTCCCAACTAAAATCTCTCTCTCTCTCTCTCTCTCTCTAAGTTTTAAACAAACTGATCCCTAATAGTTTTAGCACAACAAATATTTTGGAAGAAGAAAAATCTGTAGTATGGGTTGGATTTTATGCAACCACGAATAACCCTGAAGTATCTGAACATTTATATCTACGTGGCACCTAAAGTTGAACCAAGGTACACAACAAAATCAAAACAAGGTTATGAAGAGCCAATTCATCTGCAGAGCAGGTAGATTTTGTGTGTGTCTGGTGGGTGGGTGGGTGCGTGTGTGTGTGTGTGTGGGTGGGTGTGTGTGTTCTCCTAATACAAAGTATCTATCAATGGCTGCGCCCGCACATGATGAAAATCAAAGTTTGCAAATTAGGGTGGTCGTAGAGATTTAACTTAGAGAGCCATAGCTTCAAGCTTCAAACCCAACAATGGCCCTTGATGTGACACTAGCCTCTCTCCCCACTACATACGTTAACTCTCAATTATTTTCCTCCTTCCTTCTCTCTCTGTCCATATCCTTAATTTCGTGACTTTTGACTCCGGCCGTTCTTGAGTCTCATTTTTCTAGAAGATCCAAAATTGGAGCTCAAACAACAGAGAAAAAAAAGAGAATTTGGAAAGATAAAACAACTGGACTTCATGCAGATTGATTATATCAATCAACTCTTTATCTGTCTCCAAATTACACTTCATCAGAAGCATTTCTTCTCTATGTTTTTGTCTGTTATGCAGGGTAGTCACAAACTCAACGACCATTAACTAATTACTTCAGGAAAATTTCGTTATTCACGGGATGGATACAAATTCTGGTTTAGTGAACTGAGTACTTGCTTGCAGCTTTGTTTCTGGCTCTCGTGATCATGTTGGTCATGATCCGTTCACCAACCCAAAAGGAAAAATGCACCGTATTTTCCACATATAAATTCAATGCGCTGGGAAATGCCTTGTCTTTTTCTATATATCTAGCTTCTAGAAAATTATATCAACCTATTCAAGTTGGACCCCAAGGTGCCAGCCCGATGAAATTGACCCCAGTTTGATAAAAATTTGACTGCAATAAATTTTCCACCGTTGGGTTAAGTTTGGTTGGTGAATATATGACCCTAGTCTATTCCAATCCAAGTCATCTCTCTCCCTCACTATATTTCTGACACCATATACCTTGTCTTTTCCTCCAAATTTACTTGAGTCATCTATTTCTTAATATATATTCCCCAACTGATCTCTTATATACATTGCCATCGCTGTTTTTACTGTTTTACTTGTGTATTTTATCCACAATAAAATATTGATAGGTCGATAAGAAAAAATGTTTGAAATATCGTAATCAATATGAAGCGCCACAGTATTTTTCAAAAAGCCGGTTTGAAACGGACTAGGGATATTGTTATTATTTGAACGGCCTACGATGCTGCTATAAAAGTGTGCCCTAATCTATAACTATAATAATACACAGTAAGCAATTTGAACCATGCAAGTTTTTAATTTATTGTGGCAGTCAACCAGAAATCAGTAAGTTCAATCGATATTAATATTGACAATGATATACGCGTTTGGTGTGCGTGAAGGAGAGAGGGATGGAAGGTAAATTATATGGAAAACGAAGTGCTAGACTTTACGACAAGACTTTATATACACACATAATCATGGTCGTAAAAAGCTTAAGAATAAGTCAGTTTCTTTATTAAAATTTCTTAATCGGTCGTCCGAAAAATAGTGAAACTTTATTTTACTAGGGCAGTTGCAAGACAAGTAAAACGCACTACATAGTAGGCAAGTCTTAGGAAAATGCAAAAGCCTGTCTCAAAGTTCTAGTCACTTGTTGATCAGTAGATTTATTTGCATATACGAATTTCAAAACCGAAAGTTGTCTTAAGAAGGAACTATACATAATTCAAGTCCGCACAATTATTAAAAAGCTGATGATGACCAAGGCATCGAATTTATATACACTAAAAGGAACTTGCATAATTGAGTTGAAATGATCTTCAATTATTTATAAGAGAAAAAGAAGTAATGAAAGAAGGGCTAGAAGAGTAATTGTAAGTTGCAATGAAGGGTGGTCCATGTATATAGATTGACCTTAATTATAGAGAGGGATGAAGGCGAGCCTTATTATAAAGAAGCAGTGTATAGTACGGGGGAACCTGAAAAAGGTGGAAGAAAATTAAAGTAAATAAAGCAGCCCACGTAGTTCCAAATACAAGGTGATTCCGGTCAGACAAAGACAAGAAGAACAAACCTTATTCTCCTATTCTGGCAATACTCAAATTCTGGAATTTTCTATCCAAAAATACTCTTATTTTTCGCCACTCCCTTGCATAAAATATTTATATCTCTATACAGTGTGATGGATGTTCTTGGAATCATGTTTATCCCCTCCTACTTTTTTATATTATAGTCATTCTCTCTCTTATAATTCTGAATTCGAGGGCCGTAAAAGAGAGAGGTACTGATTAAAGCCATTACCTTGTATCCTTAATCAAGCAAGCTGTATCTGTAACTGATCGGAGAAACACACATCGAAGAAGAGAGAACATGGGGAGGGCTCCTTGCTGTGATAAAGCAAACGTGAAGAAAGGACCTTGGTCCCCAGAAGAAGATGCCAAACTCAAGTCCTACATCGAACAGCATGGAACTGGTGGAAACTGGATCGCTTTGCCTCAGAAGATCGGTACGGTACTATATGTTATTTACATATAACCCTTATTTTTTCAGCTATTTCGTCTTATTTTCCTTTTTGTCTTCATGATTTGCTATACACTAACGCTGCGCAAATTAGGAATTTACTCCAAAAATGAAAAAGTATATGAGTAGCGGGAACTTTTCTTTTTTCCTTATAAATTTATGAGGGTTTCAGTATAAACATGAATCAGGGCTAAAGAGATGTGGGAAGAGTTGTCGACTGAGGTGGCTAAACTATCTTCGACCAAATATCAAGCATGGGGGTTTCTCGGAAGAAGAAGACAACATTATTTGCAGCCTTTACGTTAGTATTGGAAGCAGGTATACATATGATTATTGATTATACAGTCGTTTTGGTGCAACCATTTAGGTTGATCAGATTTGTGTCCTGGAATAAAGTGAAGGGTTTAATCATCAATTTGATAGTTGTATTTGTACATGGTGAAATTGAGCAGGTGGTCGGTGATAGCAGCACAATTGCCGGGAAGAACGGACAACGACATAAAGAACTACTGGAACACAAAGCTGAAGAAGAAGCTTCTGGGTAATAAGCACCGTAAAGATCAACAATCACGTAGTAAGAGCAAGCTGGAAGCTAATAGAATCACCTCTCCCAATTCCTTATTAGTTCCTGAAAATTCTACAAATACTATTTTTCCACAACCATATTGGCCACTCATGCCCGTGATAACTCCCTTGCAATATTCAAATCAAGACCCATGTTTCAACGATCAAGATTCCATCAAAAAATTGCTTATGAAACTGGGAGGAAGATTTTCCGATGAGGATGATCACGATTATCACCCTACCCTCGATGCTTTGAATATTAATCCCAATCTATTCCCAGATGGTACTCCCTGCGCACAACCAGTCTGCGAAGAACAATCAGATATGGCTTCTTCTTCCTCTTGCATGATAAATAACGGTACGATAGTTAACAACAATCAGATGGAATTGGCCCAAGAGACCGGAGGACTTGATGAGATAGTATGCAGTAATAGTACTTATGCTTATCCACAAAGATTAGAGGGACTCGAATTGTTGTTTGGGGATGACATGATGGTCAATGACAAGATAGCCCCACCTGCGGATACCAACTCTCTCATTTATCAATCTTTTGTTTCTTCCAATTACCAGGACATGCCACAGCACACCCCACAACAATGTGCTTTCCCAGAGTTAAGGTTTAACCGGCCATAGTTATTTTTTCATAACGGTACTGCAAGAAGAATTTAAACCTTGTCTTTTTCATTCCGTGGATAATACAATCTGCGGTATATATGTGTATGTATGCATAGGTAGAGATCGGTTTGCCCACTCTATTCTCAATTGTTCCATCAGCACTACTCACACTCGAGGTTTGTTAATTTATTTCTTGATGATGAGACGTATTTGGACTGCTATATATTAATGATATAATATTCTTCCTGTGCCTCACTATAAATTTTGTAGCCAACATGCACGCCCTATAGCTACCTAATTCCTGAGTACTACCCCAGGTTAGTTCATCTCGATCTTCTAATTAATTCTGAGAAATAAAGGATTCGTTTTTTTTTTTCCTGATCCACTGACTGCTGGGTCAAGATCAGCATTTCTGAGGCATATCTTCTAGGCTAGAGTCAACTGCGCGTGAGTTCTCTTAGCAAAAGAATATACACAACACATGGCAGCGATCCCTATTATGAAAGAATTAATCTATCCCCCCTCCCCTCAGTATTCTCGAGTCAATTAAATAGAGTAGTCTCTCGTTATAACGAACGAGGGCATAGGGATGAAGCATGCGCATTGCATAGGCTAGGTTTTAAACTGTTGCATATTTCCACTTAAACATGCAAGGCTATGTACATGTGAATTAGCTAACTGATCAGAAGAGGTACAGAATGATTATTTTATAATGATTATAGTGTTCGGCCTTCTTTTTAAATATTTGTAGCATTAAGCTAGACCCTGGAATTGAAGTTCAACATCATTTTCCAAATAATTTGACCCTGAATGTGTTACACACACACACACATGTGAGATTTACTGCTACTCCTACACACACACACAACCCCTTCGAACTATATTGTGCAATCTTAATAACTGACACTCAGATACTAGCAAGCTAGCTGGACCTTAAATATGCATATACGAGCATCTCTTTTTTATTATATATTTTAACTGATCATTACAAACGAAAAGGTATAATTCTTTTATATCTTAGAGCTGTATAATTGTTTTTTTCGAAAGAAGACCAAATGTGATTATATTAAAAAACTTAAGATCGAATTCGAACACTACTTAGACATTTCACCTTGAACCACCTTTCGTTAAAAAGCTGGAAAGTGTCAGGAGTTTAATCAATACATATGATGACTGCGTGTATTAATGAAAATATATAACAAGTTTACCCTTTTTATGATCATGATGTAGTCATACATATAATTTCTACTAGAGCCATGATAATAGAAGTATATATGAAAATGTGTGAAGGTTTAATAAGTGTATATGTTTTGTAGTGGTTCAATATACTATATCTACTTTTTGCCTTGAGGAATTGATTTAATTGATATACTCTACATGTGTGGGATTTGTACATTACTGTTGGATAAGCTAAACTGTAAAAAATTAGACAAAACTCTCCTAAATTTTGAGTTATGTATACAAATAGCCTTAAAAATATTTATTTTGACAAGGAGTTTTGTAAATAGCTTTCTTACCGTTAATTAATTTATTAATAAAGTATTAATTATATGTCAATGATCATAGGTCTTCTTAATTTCCGTGGCCCTTGAACTTTGAGTCATGTGCAAAATTTTTTATAAAACTAAATAAATTATAGGGCATCATTTGTGTAAAATTAAAAGTTAAGTGGGATTCATTGTTAAATTCTCAAGATTAAAGAAATTATTTAAATAAACTGTGTGTACTGTATAGCGATACGTTTAGAGAGACATAAAAAAACGGAGAATTAATTTTATCTTTGAACAAAGAATTATTTATCTCTGATGAATAACGAAAAACTAATGTTTTGATACAATATTAGGTTAGAAAGCGCAGTTAGAAGGGTGCCAAACCCAACCAGGACAGGAAATAACACAGATCCCAGTATAATATATATATATTGGCTTCACATAACCCAATATATTTAGATGCTAAGCTTATGTTTGGATGGAGGGAAAGTGGGAAGAAAATAGCGAGAGGAAATACTGGACAAGAAAACTTTCAAAAATAATAATAAAATTTACTATTTCTTTAGAGTTTTTTCTCGTAACTATCTTTCCTCCCTAATCTTTTCTCCATCCAAACAAATATAGAAAGAAAGGTTGAGCTTAAGATCAATACGCTAGATGCAAGGGAACAACCACCATTTTCAGATCACTTTTGAAACTTTGATAGTAGATCTCAAAACAAATTAAATTAAAGCAACGAAGAAAATGTTCCCCAGGCCTCATTTTATGAGACAGAATTAATTAGTTTAATAAACAACTACTTTTTATTTTAATTAGTTTCAGATTCTGAAAATTAAAAATATCTATATTAAATTTCAGTTTTTTATTAAATGCTTTGTTTTCTCTTACTTGCAACCTTAATAGTGATACATCCTTCAAATGGATAATCTGTTATATTTCCATAGTTGAATTTTTGAAGAGACGTGGTTTTTCAGCTAAGGTCAAATATAGTTGGTGAATCTTAACGACAAAGTTGATTATATCCCATCTCCACCCAATATTTCAAGCCATTTAATATGTTTAAATATTTCATTAAGAAATTGATCTATCCAATCGTCTTCAATGCTACCAATTTTACGACACTTATTTTAGTCGGCATACAGAACGCAAGGAATTGGGATCCAATGCGAAATACCTTTGCATATATATTCACAATACTATTATTTTTCTTATCATAACTTGTTCGATCTGTTTACTCGGTGTAAAGTTTTGTGGAAGGAAAATAACATAGATCAATTAATTAACGAAAATATAAGTCAAAACCCCCTTCAAATGTGAACCAAATATCTGAGCTTGAAAGGATAATTAGCTAAGTTGTATACACGTGTCATCAACTCCCCACAAAAACTAGATACTCCTTTGGTCCTATTTATAGAGAAGAGAGAAAATGGTTTTTTTTTATCCTATTTATAGGTCACTTCATTAAATTTTTACCATAAATGTACCATATTGTCTTTCATTTATTATAGTGCAGATAGTTTTTTTTAAAAAAGAATATATATTAAATAGGGGTAAAGTTGAAAAGTATTGTTATATTTTAATGAAAAGTTAATGCACTTTAAGATTTTTCTTGATATGTGTAAAACATGTCGGAAGCGCCTTATAAATAAAACCAAAAGATTATCTAGACTCTTGTGCAGGGCTGATCTCATTGATCTGGCCATACGTTTCTTGGTTATATGATAGCAAAGGCTTAACTCTACATTATTATCACACCCACGCAACCATAACCTCCCTACACGTTTCTGACACGTTGGTCACGAGTACGAAGGTTCGGTTAATGATCTTATTATATTAAGCTCAATGCCATTAATTCTAACTTAGTTGATTACAGTTGTTACCATATTATTAAGTTTAGATGAACTTTTTGTTGACTATATTGATTTTCTGGCACGCTAGCCATGATCATGACTCGTTAAAATAAGCTGACATATTTTGAAAGTAGATAAACGATTTTCTCAGCAATTTCAACCTAGCTGGTTAGGCACCATCGATCATCAGCTCTTTCACAATAGTCTCTCTTGTTTTAATCTCAAGATGTATCTTTCGAGTTCATCGGTTTGTTTTGCACCCCAGAGAGCGAAGCTGCCGGAGTATTTAATTGGCCGTGAACTCGCCTCGTTGCGCGCCTGGGAGAAATATATGCTCAGTCAGGGAAATAAATTGCGCACATTTATTTAAAGGTGAGTCAGTAAATGAGAAGGGAATATCCCAAACCCAGAAAGAACTCGACAGAAGGATCCTTGAACAAAAGACCAAGGATGATTCAAAACTTGAGTTGTGAGGGTGAAAACATTATATGTATTGTGTCAACTTTATGAGGATAATAATAAGAACCAAAACGACATCCGTGATTGGAGCCTGTGGCCCTATAGCTGGCCCGGACAACAGCCAAACGACAACTGATAGCACAACCTCCTTAATTTTATATATTATTAAGGAAATCCGCATCTTTAGGCACTGGGAAATGATAATGACACCAACATGATAGAAATTTTTCAGCGTCAGAACCTGTCAATCGTGTTTCCGTTGCCATCTGCATATTTCTTATTTGTTTCGGAATAACTGCGATACATTCTTAATATTGTAAATTATTCCTTTTTAACGAGCAAGATATATAACCGACAAATTAAGGTGGCACGCGTATCTTCAAATTAATTTATTATCCTACACTTATGTTATCTGACATTCCTCATTAAATAGCTGGGTTGATGTATCTGTGTCCTATCTTAGAAATTAGAATTCTGGTGAAAAAATGGCAGGGGCATGGATGGAATGGAACATAATTTCTTTGAAGTTCATTTTGTACTAGAGAAAGAAGAAAGGAAAGCATTTTTTTTTTTTTTGGCCTTTTATCTAGTTGATGTGGAAGCATTGAATGCCTGATATGCAAATTGATATCGACATAAAACATTCATCTGTGCTATGTTTCGGTCTTTCCTTTGCTGCCCTCTTCATTAGCATAAAGTTCTAATTTTGCTTTCTTTTTTGGGGGAATAAAGGCCACACGAGCGCACGGTGTTCTATAAGCACGAACTAATATTACACATTACAAGTAACGTCCCAGCTAAATAATCTGGATATTTATATGCAATATAAAATTTGAAAAAAAAAACATTATAAGTCGTAAGCTACTAAAGCTTATAAAAAAAAGTTATAGCATTCGTTTCAAACTCAATACAAAGACAGTCCAATTAAATAAATTCGGTTCACTGGAGGAGCAGCTCATCCTGCAAGCTTGGACAGCCGATTCAACAATGACTGACTGTTATTTTTGATTGAGTAAACATATTGCAGAAGCATGGACATGGTGACTATGCATGTAGTATTTGAATTCAAGAAGAAGAAACGACCAAGATCTCAGTGAAAGAGCAGATGCACGAATATACATACGTTTTCTTTTATTTAATTTTATATCGTATTTATTATTATTTTTCAAACTAACTTACCGAATTTGCATAAGAGTATTTTAGAGAGATTACATCATATTTGTTAAAATTAAATAATTCGATTCGTACAAATAAAATTCTCACACCCACACGATATAACTAAAAAAATGGTTGACCAAGAATGAAGAATGAAAAAACGAAGAGCCACGACGGTATAACTTGAATTTGTTGCCTGTGTTGAGCTTAAGGCCCTTCATTTACCTGACATAACATGGAGCAGCCTCCCTCTATACTATAGTGAATAATATTTACAGTGAAGGAATTTTTACATTCTGAAATCTACAAACCTAAGAGGCAAAATCTAATTCACGCTTTTTTTCCTTTCACTAGTGTGCAAGCTCATTTAGATGGTATTTACCATGACCGATGGAAGGCTGAGTACTGATGACTTGATGCCCCCGCCTTAGCGGGCCATATCCCAGCAACTCCCGGCATGTAAAAGCGGAAAACCAAAAAACAAAATACTTCATTGATTCCCGTAATTACTGAAATTGCTCTGGCTGGAACTGGCCATAATTCATCGTTTTGGCTGTGGATTGCCTGGAATATGAAAAAAATTTAGTCCGTATGTTGGAGATAAGAGGGTGAACACCTGATCATTGGATGTGGATAAAAAAAAAAAACCTGTCTCCGAGATTTCTGAGACCCGATTTGACCCCTCCAAGTCCTGGCTAGGGGCATTACTGGAAAAATCAGGGTCAGTCGTCGGCGGAGCAAACTGGCAGTATGCTGCGTGCAACTGATCATAAATTTCTTCCATCTTTCCATCATGCTCATCTCTCCTATCCATGTCAATAAGAATCTAGAAACAAACAGCGTATCAATCTCAAAATGGGCGAAAGAGAGACAAGAAGGAAAGGGTCAGGGGGGTAGATACATAAAAGAGAAAAAAGAGGGGGGGGGGTTTCAACCTGCGCTGAATTGTTCTTAAATATTGGGAGAAATCGCTGCCTACAATACTCGTGAAATAGAATAGTAAGAATCAGCAGTGGAATAGTAAATCCAGATGCAACCGGTGAGCGTTTCATGCCAAACACCCCAAGAGCAACTATTTGAGTGAAGATCAATGCAAACACCGTTGTGTTATGAGCAATGGGCCAAAACTCTCCGCCACTATCGTATTTTGTAACATACACATTGACAAGCTGCAAAAACAAAAATAAACGAAACATCAAACATCACTGATTACAGCCCACTTAGTGTCCTGGTATATGCATTTCTCCCCATTGAATTCTTTCTGATATCAATGAACTATTGAGGCCCAATTGCATAGAATATAACTGTAGATATAGCCAAGATCCCAAGCTATACAAAAAGAAAAACAAGGTTCTACTCACATAGAGCCTTACAAAAATCAAATCATGTTTTCAATCCAGGGTTTCTAGTTTCTGGAGTTCCCAAGTGGACATTAGCCAAAATAACCAGTAGCTGTAAGTACTATTCTGCGATATAGCCATATAGATTCTGTAAACAATTGTAGACTCAGTCTGCTCTTTTCGGTTAAAAGGGAGAGAAAATACGTGCGCCATACACCAAATTAATTTTCAGTTCTTGTCTTCCTTTTCCAATTTTGTATAATCTCATAATTAATAAATTTTCAGGCAAAAAAAAGTTGCAAGCGCTATGCAGCCAGCACATCAGCCAGAAAATATGTCCTGACAGTCACCTCAGAGAATATGGATGTTGTGCATGTCTAAGTCCATACAAGACATAATGATTATACACTTCTCTTTTAGCCAGTACATGATTATGCATTATAAGAACAGATATAAACTCGAAGAACTCCATAAAGGATCAATAAGAAGACAAAACCTGAAAGAAATACTAACCTGGTTTTTGTAAACAAGGTAACCAAGGAAGAAGTAAACCAGTAAGAAGGGTGCTATTAGGGGTGCTAGAATAGAACAGGTGAACCCGAGGAATGCAAACAGCAAAATCCTTGGAGTTTCAGTATGGTATGGAAAAGATGGGGGGGCCATGAGCGAATCATCCTTACATCTGAGTATATATCTCTGGAACGAAATCCAGAAGAGAGGAAAAATTTGGATAAGTTCAGTTGCCAAACTTGCCCAACCAGATGATAAAACATAGGTTATGAAGAAGGTAGCCTGGATAAAACCAACAAAAAAAGAACACTGTAAGGTGAATCAGTACATTTTTTTAAGGTTTATATTTTCAAATAAGATGTATATATACATTTTTTTTAACTCCACTTAAAATTCTGAATACAAACAGAAATGAGGCACACGAGTACGCTCCAGATAAAAGAGCATTTTATTTATTTATTATTTTTAACGCTAAACAGGTGGGTACGTGATGGGATCACTTTTGCTGCAAAAGCCTATAAGATGAAATTTCGGAGGATGCAAGAAAAGGGAAACCCACCTTCTGATGGTCAGGGCATTGACCTTCCACCACTATGTGATGGAATACAGGAGGATAATTGGAATCTACCCTAGAATATGAAAATTTAGCATTAATTTTCTTATTATCTTTATTAGGATTTTTATTAGAATTTAGGTTATCTTTTAACTATATAATTTCAGTTGGGTTTAGGTTTATTAAATTATTTCCTATTTATTAGAGATTCTTATTTTTATATATATATATATATTTTTTTTTTTTCGCTTGAAGGTTAAGTTAGGTTTAGGTTGCTCAGTGCTCTACAAATAGAGCTAGGATCAGTCTCATTTGAGGCCTTCATGATGTATGACATTGGGTATTTTGAAATTGTCCACTATTCAATGTTGCCTAGTTTCTACCTCCTTTCTTGCTATCTCCCTCCTCTCTCTTCCCTCTCCTACCTTTCCCCTTCCCTGTCCCACATCATCACGCTTGGTCTTCTCCGGCTGACCCTAGGAATTAGGCATGTGTTCACAAATCAGTTCCCGAACGTTAAAAGCTTTGTCTCACCTATTAATTGTTTCCTAGAGTAGCATTTCCTTGTCTCTACAAATACCCTTGCATTTTGATTCTTCAATAAAACAAGATATTCACATATTTCGTCAAAAGCATATTAAACGGTGCTGCTCAATTCTTCATACTCTAGCGCATAAATCATCTCTATTATAAATCAAAAGGATACTATAAATCGTGTATTAACATGTATAAATCCATGTAACAATGCCATTTTTAACAGATATGGTCATCTAGGAATCTTGACATATCACCTGTGCTGGCACTTCTTTAGCAAGTTGCTCAGGTAGGTTCGTTATCCTGTTAAAGATTGAGAGTTGGCTGATAACAGAGCCAGTGAAAACATTAACAAAAAACACGTTCCAAATCAAGAAGAACAAAACTTTGTAACATGCACTCTTCTTCCTTCTGCTACGGGAAATGGATCCCTCGATTGCTGAGAATTGCATCATCGTTGGAGGAACAGTATACAGAAACAAAATCAAAATCACACTTGGTAGGTATCCAGTTACTATCTGGCTCACATATTTCCTGCATAAAAATACAGGGTCAATTTGCGATTAGCCAGCATTCCACATTCCAATTAACAGTTATAATCATTGAAGTTTAGCATAATTCCTTAGCAAGACAATGTACTTTTCTTAGTTAAATTTGCAACATCTAAAATTATTAAATGTCAAATTTATAAACAAAAAATAGACGCAGATTAGAATATTAACAGCTTTAAAACTGTGTATACTGACACCACCAATGCGAACTATGGCATACATGGTGACATTGACAATTGTGAGATTCAAACCTACTCACTTGCAGTCATAAGCTTGCAACCTAGTCGAGTCTCGTTGCAGGATACAAACTTGCAATTGCAAGCTTCACATAGTAATTTGCAGATTATTCAAGTGCATTAGGACTTGCTTGGTGCGAAAGGGAAATCGGAGAAGGAGAGGGAATGGAAAAGCTCTCTCCTAGAAATATGGGAAGTTTTCTTTCTTACAGAGCTACTTTACCATCTACCAAATATACTTTTTTTTAAAAAAAAAAAAAAACAACTTTTCCTCACCTTCTCCCCTTTCTTCAAACAATTTTTCTATGCACCGAACACAGCATTAAAGTAATCTCACTGTGAAGGCAGACATGCTGGCTTGCAAAGAGAGAGCAAGAAATTTCTTGCCTTCTAATGCACCTTGGTTGTTAAGTATTGCTTTATTAACTTTAAGCCTCACATGAACAGCATTTCTATATCTTTCTATTCCTACAAAAATGAGCTATATTACGAGCCACAAAATTCCACAACATTTTCCCCGATGGATTATCTTACTTTTTAAGTATCCCTTTAAGAAAAGGGAGCGATTCCTGAAGATGATCCAGTTGAGTCATGCCTTGCACGAATGTGACGGGAATAAGGAACACAAGCATGAAGACAACAGAAGCCACGAGTATTGCTATCTTACGGATCCAGAGTTGCCCATAAGGTATGCAAAGGTTTGACCAGTAAATATCATGTGGCTCGGGAGCTTGGTCAGTCACCCACAACATTGGATTTGATGTTTGAAGAATTCGTGAAGCCACAAGAGCAGCATACCGAGTTTTAAAGAACACAAAAGCAGCTGCACACTCCTGTAATTGAGACCCCAGCTTAGATCACAAAATAGTGGATGTACAAAATTCTTAGCATCACACATAGCGGGTTTTTCCACACACACATATCTATTTTTGATGACTGCATAAATGAATATTTAATTATCAGACTCTGTGAATAAGAAAATCTTTATTCAAAAAACTAGAAGCAACGGGATTTCATAAATTACGGAATAACTACCCAACATCCCCTTCTTTAAACTTACAGCCATCACTCTTTTTCATAATTAAAGTTATATAATTATAAATTATATATTATTAAATAGCTACTTTAGTTTCCTACACTTAAAATTTATTTTTCTTTTAACCAATATTGTACTATCTCTGGGGTATTTTATTGCGAAGACAGCAGAAAATCTCAAACACCAAAAAAAAAAAAGAAAAGTTGGATATAGATAAACTAATCCAGCCAGAAAATGCACCTTTTTTCTTTCATCCAAATTCACGTCATTATAGGCTGTTCTCCCATGTATGCTGCTTATCTCATTAGAAATCATCTTGAAGGAATTTCTAGGCCCTCCACAGAAGCATTGAGTAAGATGTGGCTTACAGCTCTGATCAAATGAATTACCCTTTATTGATTTATACATCAGCTCCGCATCATCCTGGAGTTTTTTTTTTTTTTTTGTGTTGGGAGAGGGATTAGAAAAATAAGCATAAATAGCAGTTATGGTACCAAGAATAATTCGAGAAAATCCAATACTTGACACAGACTGAGAGATAAATCAAGCCACATAACATCCAATATCTCTATAATCACAGTTACAAAGGGTTGCTCTTGATAGAGTTAAAACACGTCAAATTGTTGCAGAGTCCACATAATATACTACATTTTCCAGATTCATTAAATGGATTATGACCAATGTATAGTATGAAAATCCAGAAATAACATCAATAAAAGCCAAAAATACAACCATCATGTAGACTTCTTATCTAGCATACTGGCATGTGACCCTCGCACCAGAAAGCTATGTATAAAAAATTTATGGATTTCTATAACATGAAAAAGCTCTGACCATATAAAGAGGATGCAGAGGATCTGCAAGTTTCTTTCAAAAAAGAAGTGATACGAGAAAATCTCATACCGAACAGCCTTATAAAGCACAAAAACGAAGCATGCCTCAGAACACTAGAAAGCATAATTACTCGTTTCCATAAAGAGTCCTCATGCTAGTTCGATCCAACTTGAACCAAATGACAGCCATAAACAATATACTGAATAAGCACACAGCAGCAGTTATGACCACAGTCAAGATACTGAAACAAAAGTTGGAAACAAAAGCACGATGCTGAAAATCACATCACCTAATTAAACTATGTTACTCATAAAAAGGAATTAAAACAAGGTTATGAAGTATACCTTCAGTTTCTCCACAGTACCAGACTTATATATCATTTGGTGCGACAAATATGTTGATTCGTGATAATTCGAGAAAAATTTTCTCACAGTTTCATAGTACGAGACTTCTGGAGACCATGGAATTCCTCGCACAACAATTGCAAAGTGACTTGGATTTGGAGGTGACCCAATAATATGCACTAGCCTCAAATTAGTAATGGCCTTAAATTCCTGACATAATATGCCAGTTGATCAATCATATTACAAAAAAAAAAAGGACAAAAAAAACTGTTAAGGTCATTCTTTTAGGCAAAAAAAAAAAAAAAGATGGAAAAGGTAATATTGCAGGTAGGTTCAATTGCTTACAAAATAACTAAGAGCGCAAGCAGCGATAGTTATGATATATAATGCCAGACAATGAGCCCAGAGCCTGATATCAAACAAAAGAAGAACATCAACACATGAGAAACAATTCTGTATGTGTTATCCTGAATTAAGACATTTATTTTTAACACATGAGCACTGAAACAAAAAGTTCGGACATCTATGTCATGTGTCCACTATTGTAACTTCCCAACCGCCCTGCACTATAGAAGATCTGTATAACTTTTAGGATTAATGGATGCTTTTACTCTATTGTAACTCTCTTCTGGTATAAATAGATCAACAGCACTTAGCTTTAGTTTGAAGGAATGAATTTATCTTCATATCAGGGAGATTGGTTCTCTCCTTACAGACTAATGGTAGAACGAATTGTTTCAAGGTTTTCATTCCATTCTTTCTCTAGGCAATTTCCTTCCCTGGTTCTTCTTAATTGTTATGTTATTCAGTTCCACATCACATCATTCCAGCACCCTCCATGTTCATCAGGAATCTGCACCACTAAAAGTAACCTTGGCAGGAGGAAGTAAAACTAATAATAAGTAAAGGAAGGAAAATGGACAAGGAGGGGAAGATCCCCATGTAGCTTCAAAATAATTATTTTCTCTTTCATTTTGAAACATCAAGGGACCTCATTTGTTTATCTCATTCTACTCTAAACTTCTCTAAGGTATTCCCTATTCATGCTAAATTAACATAATTAGCATGTCAATTGAGAGAGAAAAGATAGTGAATACCATCTCGAGCCTTCTTTAACATTCTCAATGGAAAATACTTCCAGTGGCTCAAAAGAAAGATCCTCATGCTCTCTGTCCTGACCATAGTAATTTACTGGTAGCACTAGACAAGTGCAGATGATAGCCGCAACAGAAAATACTCGAAGACTGAAGAAGAAAATAATAGCAATGACAGTAAGTACTGCTGTGAAGTGTAAAATGAACAGTGAGAACTCTTTATACAATCCACTTACTGTGACCTATATGGATGAACAACTGTTTTCTAGTAAGATGAGAATGGTGCTTAAAGTAAAATCATAAATCAGATGCAAAAATAAGACAAAGTTGGCCACATTTACCATAATTCAAAACATTCGCTGGAAGAACCAGATGAAAAATCAAGCATAACAACATGAAAAAGTTCTTTGAGCTAAATTGAGGACTTGCCATAACATTTTCTTAGGTTTTTCTCAGAACTTGCATTAAAACAAGACTTATGCACCATTATCTCTATTCCTGGAAAGTTTCAACATTTAGATTCCTTTTAGCTCAGGCACAAACGAGATTTTTCATGAGAAGTTGTTTAAAACTAAATACATTGTAGGGTAACATAGTTAACGGATCAGGAAAACTAACGAAGATATCATTTGATGCATAACTAAAGTCACATGTTATTAACATATAACTCTCGTACCACTATTTTCATGGCACCAACCAAATGCACTAAGAAAGTGGACTGAAAAACACAGGAAATATTTCATAAAAGTGAGCACACATTAACACTATCTTCTATGATCCAGATATCTTCACTAGAGTGGCGCCTGTGGACATTCTTGCAATTTTCAGAAATTCTTAGTTGATACAAGTGAAATACCACAAGACCAGTAAATCTTTCAGGTCAGATGCCAAAAAGCAAAATTACTAACATTACGTTTTGAAAGGATTAAACAACCTGAATACAACTATCCTGACAAAAACGACAGCATCCAAGCCACCAACAGCCAATAATTCATCTTCAGTTGTATGCCATGCTTTCAATATCCAGCTAGGGGAAGGAACGAATCTTTCCAAGCAGAGATCAGTGCGTCTTGACCGTTTAGAGGCCAGCCTCCGTCCAAAGTATACATTAACATTGCCAGGCTGTTTTCTTAATATCGAATAAAGTGAAAGAAGCACTGCACAGACGCCAATATTTATCCCAGCAGAGGTAAAAAGAGCAACGAGTTTCATCTTTCTCCACTATATTGGCAACCTTGACACATCTCTTTACCCAGGAAGAATGACATATGACATCCAAACAATGGTCATCACCTGAAGTGTATATATACAGCTCAACCGACGTCCCCAAAATGGCTTTCTTCAGAGAAATTCAAGGCACACAACACGAAAAATTTATGTTATCCGTAATAGGGGTAAATCAGACTTCCAGACTATACGCTGTGTGATCCTAACCTTGAATCAGCAAGCACCTGTGCAAATAAACAAAAGGTTTAATAGTTATGGTCACAGAGACTGATGTAAGACCAGAGACACGTGCTCCATCGAATAACTTGCAAAACGTAATTTCCAACTATTAGATGAAGAGTTTATCGTATTGATCATACACATCAAACCAAATATAAAATGGTTATTGAGCAGTCACCAATATAATATGTGAAATTTTATGAGCATTATCCATATAATATGAATGAATGAATATGAAATTGCTAATCTAATAGATGATTACATTGAGATTAAAAGTGTATTAAATGAAAGTAAACGTCTACTGATCCTGAAAACGCACGTCCAGTGATAACATAGGTTTGTTGTGAAAATGAGGTAAACAATCTTAAACAGTGCTCGGATTGTTTATAATAAATATGAGTATTAAAGGTTTGTCCACATAAAGAAGGTACGTGCTGGGAAGTTTTAACACTGACCATTCAAACAACAGCTGAAGGACAAGCTTTTTTCCTCTCACCCAACATATGTTTGCGTAGCTAGAGCAATAGACACACAAATCTGCGTACAGATAACAAAAAACAGTGAAGCCTTAAAAAAATGGTGTGCGACAATAACTTGCTTTGGAATTCTAAGGGATACCATAAATAAAACAGCTAATTAATAGAACAAGTACAACATAATAGAAAATCTCGATAAACGACAACGCGAATGTAAGCGCAACAAACCAAATCCAGACAGTATCACGTGAAAAAAATGACAAGTCGGAAAAAGAAAATTGCGGGATTGTCAAATGAACAATGATGTTTAACGTGACAAAAAAGAAAGAAAGGAAGGAACAGGAAGAAGAAAAGGAAATTGCAGCAGCACCTGGGCACGAAAGAATAATCTGCCGGTGTAGAGTAAATATCCAGACGACCCAAACTCGGTAGAGATCAATAAGCAAAAGCAGCCTTGTATAAATAGGAAAATGTGGAAGAAGGAGAAGGGGTCAGAGTAGGCTCAAAACTTGTACGCCATTGCCGCGCGTTGCTTAAGCTTGATAGGCACGCGTGAGATTGATTAGAAGGCAGCGAACAGAATTGAAATCCTGTGCGAATGTGTGTGGGTTTTCCTCTATAAACTGCGCCGAGAATACACGGAATCGCAGCAATTAAGTAGTGGTGCAATGCAATATCCTCTTGCACCGGCACCGGCACCGCCAACCCGCAATCAGTTAAAAGCGGGAAAGAGATATTATTTCCCTGAGAGGCCCCATTTTTTTTATTCCGTCGTCACATCATTACAGTTGAAAGGAATGGGAAGAAATAGCGGGAGCCATATAATTATTGGAAATTAATAATTTATGAACCCGCATTAATTATGGATGGAATATATGAGGGGGGAAAAAATTGGCGTCCACGTGGCGGACAGCGAAGGAAGACGAAATTCACGGCGCAGAAAGGAACCGCCCAAAAACGGGCAATAATATGGTACGAGTATGAAGCTTTACTGATACGCAGCATCACCGCGATGAAGAAAACGAATTCTTACCAGAATAATACTAAAAAAATTTCTTCATCGCCTAGATTTAAAATTTTAATTAATTAGTTAAAAAATTATTTTATTTTATATTCTCCGAGTAGGGGTGAACTGAAGAGAGCCTAAACTGTTCCGTGGACAATATTGCCAAGTCATTTCATGATTTGCTTCTGCTGGCACTCCCAAATATCGCGGACTTCCATTTTCTGCTGGCACTCCATCGTTCATGTGCAAGTTGGACCTCATATCGCTAAATTTAATACTCTTTCTGTTGTTAATATAAGGCTTATTTAATTAATTTAATTAGATTAAAGAAGTTAGATAAGTTAATTAATTATAAAAAATATAATATGTTTTTCCTAAAACATCATAATTATCTTTCTTGATATCTTTCCTTTCTCTTCTATTTGATTATAGTTGGCGGAGTATCTACAGGGATAATTTAAGAAAAATTGATAAATATAAGAAATATGTTTTATATTTAGAATCAAAATCAATTCAACAATCAGGTCTTATATTAAAGATAGGAGGAGTAGTTTTTAATTTAACCAAAATTGCCAAAGTGCAAGCGACCTAACTCTGAGATACATCGGAGGCAGAGTGATAATTACTAATAAACTGCAGTTTAAACATAATGGAAACTCATTCCACAACACTCGAAGAAGGTAGTGATCGAAGACGAATGAGAGGGCCTGTGGAGATTGGAGAGGAAGGGCGATGAAAATGAAGAAGGCATACTAATTTTACAAGGGCATTTCGGTTAGAGAATTTTCATTTTCACGATTAAAATTGCAGTAACATGAGAAGGGGGCATTGAATAATCTCCCAAAAAATGACACGGGTATTGAATAATCTCCCAAAAAATGACACTTAAGTGATATCAGAATTGATAAGGGAGTCTTACCAAACATGACATGAGTTTTTCTAACTGCTGTCAAACCTTAAAGCTTCGTTTCTGATTGCTTCATCTTGTGTTCAATCTGTTGAGACCACATGGAGGAATATGAGCATTAAGAAAAAGAAGGCTACAACTTGCATCTAGCATTTTTTACTGTTCAGACCACTGTTTCTTATGTCGGCCAAAACAAAGAGACCAGCGTTTCTTATGATTTTCCCTTCCGTTCTCTCTTTCTCCCTATAGCTATTTTTACGTCCCGGAAAGAGTTCGGGACGCAAGGGGATCTTGCTACAATAGAAAACGAATTGCTCCGAGAAAAAAGACTGATTTTACATGGATAGGTTCTGGCTCTTGGCATTTTGCGTCCATATTGATTTTGACATCACTGGAAGAAAAACAAGAATTGTCATCTTCTTGCAAAAAGATTCAAAATATCAGTTGTTTTGAAAGTAAGGGGATGCATAGTAGAATTCCAATTACAATTCGTGAAAAATTATTAAGATTCCCACAACATTGTAATGCTTTATACTAACTTTTTATTTTACCGATCCCCTGTTAAATGTTGGCCGAAGAAAACTTTCTCAGGAAAAATAATTATTATTGTCGTCCTTTACCTCCTCCTACATCATATTATTACTACCTCCGTCTTTAATATAGAATATCGTTTGACTTTTATTTTAATCCTAAATATAAGACCTCCAATCCATTTTGTTTCTAATATTTGTGTATTTTTTTCCAAGATAGTCCTTCTAACAATGATAGTTATAACCAATACATTTGATTAGCAAGGATATTTTAAGAAAGACAACACCTATTTATGACAAATAACTAACTTAACTTCTTTTCTTAATTTCCTCAAATTAATCAACTGACTCTTATAATTAGGACCGGCAGTAATATTTGAATCGTCAAATACAACCTGGTGAATTTTAAATATGATATAAAGTTTCAAAGACTAAATACCGCTTATATGTTTTGTAATTTGCAGATAACATTATGTTGCTATAAATTTTAGGGTTAAAATGTATCTGGCAGCCCATAGTATTTTTTTATCAGCATCCAAAATACTTTTTAGTATATTCAGTATTCTGAAATATTTTTTTTAAGTACGTCTAGCACCATGAAATATTTTTGTGCATCCAGCACTTCAAAGTATTTTTTTTGAGGTGTTATATACACTATAAAATATTTTGAGGTGCTAGATGTACCTGAAAAAAACATTTCAAAATATTAGATGCGTCTAAAAAAATATTTCAAGATGTTAGATGTACCTTAACCCTGAATTTTATATTACCTCACAATAATATTTACTCAGACGCAAAATACTCCTCCGGTCCTTATTATAAGACCCAATTTGACTTTTTATTTGGTCCTAATTATAAGACCCAATCCATTTTGTCTCTTATATTTATGCATTTTTTTCAAGATAATCCTTCTAATAATAATAGTTTAGCCAATATACTTAATTAGCAAGGATATTTTAGGAATGACAACACTTATTTATTATAAATAATCAACTTAACTTACTTCCTTAATCTCCTCAAATAAGTCAATTGGGTCTTATAATTAGGACCGGAGGAGTATAACGGATGAAGCGAAAATCTGTATGCCTTGAAAGGATTCATAAATCGCGTAAATTTACATAAATCATTGTTTTTTGGGTCCAAAAATTTACATAAATCACTCATGCAATTTATGGCTTTACCTGAAAGAAATTTAAGGAAGAGAGGAAAAACTTCGTTTTATTATAATTTAATATGAAGCAAAATTGAAATTACAAAGAATATAAAAATCTATTACAATCCAACAAAAAATGAGGCACCGTGATGCTCAAAAGAATCAAATTACCTCCATCGTAGAAAGTGAAGCTAAGCAGCTATTAGGAGCTACAACGATCCTAAGGAAAACATCGCAGGGGTCAATTGAGAGGCTTCAGGTGGAATATTTGACATCTGGGAACAAACGAACTCGTAGCAGCAGCTTGCTCAAACTTCTTAGAAGCAGCCTCATTCTCCTCCAAATTAGTCTGTTGGAAAAACCGAGACCACCAGGTCGAACTTCTTCTCTTAGCCTGAACAAAGCCAAGTCCCGTTAGTTTGTTCACTAGTTCACTTCTTAATAGAGAGAGAGAGAGAGGATATGGGGGAAATTCATCTACATCCCCCGTCTCTGCAATTTCATCACTCTCTTTCGCTTATTATTTTTCCCCCAAAAAAAGGGAAGGACTATCTATTAATCTAAGAAATTGCAATAAAGCATTCAATCACACAAACGTGAACAAACAGTTCTATATCTTTATGAAGCCCCACTCACCGCTCTGCCGAATTTGGAAACATCTGCAACCTTAGCCTTCTGATTACCTGGAAGTCCTACAATTACAAGTATCATGTAGTATCCGTCAAAAGATGGAAAGAAAGTTTGGTCTCTATCAAAATCAAATTGGGTCCTGAACATCCGCACAGAATAAGTCGCATTATCTATGACTTAAAACATATTACGGCTCTATATTTTTTATATTTTATATTGATATTTATGTTATTCTTCTACCAGTTCAAACAGCCGCAGCCAAACTTCTAGTTCCATATCAAATTCACCGCCAAAGATAGGAATGAATACCTAAAGCCAGATAAAAGGTATCAGGTGTTATGTTTACACATACTACAATGGATGCAAATATGATTTAATATTCTAAAGAACGAAATTCCCACAGCTTGTGAAGCACCGGATGTCTTAGAAAGCATTTCCTACTTTTCGTTCACTCATTTCGGTTGTAATAGACCACATCAATTGAGTTGAAGCGAAGTTTAGATTAGAGGTGTCTCCTTTAGGGAAGAAAAGAAAAGAAAACTAGCGAACAAAGCAATGAACTCCAGTTCAGACATTTTCATATAATGCTCTTACCAGTAAATATCACTATGCCGTCGGACGAAACCCTTGTCAGATCTGGTAGGGTTTTGTTGAGGTATCTTGGAGATAAGTAATCTAGGGTATCCGAAACAATTACAAGAGAAAAAGACTTTGGCCTGTATGGAAGAGGAAACTTGATATCAGCCACACGCACAAAGCCTCTGCGGATCAGTGCTTTGCAGTTACTGTCAGCATCCTCTATATCGTAGGGTTCAATTCCCCAGGCTTCAGTTTCCTCCTCCCTTAGCAATTTAGAGACCACGTAACAAGTGTCGGGACCAACATGCAAAACTTTATGCATTCCATCACCATATGCTTTCTGCAAGATGGGAATTGTTCGTTGGACCTCTGATGTGCACAAATAATCACCTGCATAGAGGAGGTCCATACAATTACAATATATCCAGTAGGCACATGCCTAATTGGTCAAGTTCTCAGTGTTATTCAAACTTCAAAGGAGCAAAAATTTGACCATAGAGAACATGGCCAAAGAAGTCATGACTTTTCTGTGCTGAACTAAGACATTGAAATCTGTAAGCCACTTCAAACACTGACCTACATTAGACGATTACCAACAACCTTCTTAAAACCCAATGACATTGATCACATCATCACATCGATACGTGGATGGTGCAACTAATTTTAAACGAGAAATTTAAGTAGACAAGGTAACTCAATAATCTGAAAACCTAGGTACAAAACCAAAAGGGCAAACATATATAACAGACTGAATCTCTTAGATTCAGTCATGCTCAAGAAAATTGCATAGTATTGAAATTCCCAAACAAGAGAGCACCTTAATCTTTATAGTTAGTAGGCCAAAATCATAAAAAACATAAGAGCGAGAAAATTTAGATTACCTTCAACCCTGCTGGCAGATTCTA